TGCCAATGCCACTGTTGCAGTTGCTGGGCCATTGAGCTGTTGCGCTAGTCTAGTTTTTAATGATTAATTGTAAACGCATGCAATTCAAAAGATAACAAGAATATTCAAAAAAATCCAATTGGTTTTTTTTTAATTTGGTCGCCTGTTAGTAATGCTAGAGCGCATGGACATATCGATACATTGTTCTGCCTATGAATTTCGGTTCAGGCTATCGATAGTTGGTAACACAGCATCAATTCATCGATACATCGATCGCTTGCACCATCAGTATCAGCAACAAGAATAGACAAGTTCTAGTGTACAAAGTGATCTAATTCTGTGATTGTGTGATATAAAATAAAGAATGAATCTCATCAAATATAAGGTAATTGAGTTTCATAATGTACAATTGGCATGCCACATTCGCGAGTCCAACTTAATTTTAAGTCAATTTATTGCAGCGCCTGTAGCGGCGCCAATATTTGTTCACGGCACGCAACATGGCTTCTGGGAAGCCGGCAGCCATTAAAAAAAAGGTTGTGGCACCTTTTGATAATGCAGTCGGCATTGCCGCTGAGCTGTTTATGAAAACTTTGCGGTTTTCAGACTCGGACTTAAACTCGCTACATTTGCATTTCAATAATTAATTGTTATTGTTGCCTGAGCACATTGTGTACGTTTTTCACATGAGCAGCAGCTACACACACACATACATACATACATACAGAGCGCGTATGTCGCGGCAGACAGGGCACAGCTATAAAAATGCGTGCCAACAACTACGTAAAGCAAATACGTAAGCACGTGTGTGCAGATGTATGTACATACGTACATAAGTACGTAAGTAATAACAAAGACGTTGACTTTTCTGTGGCGGACGTTAATTTATTTACTGCTGCGCTTGGCAAATAGCACCGCTACTTTACCCCCCGCTCTCTCACTCACTCTACAGCAAAACCGCAAGCAATGCGCGCTCTGCACTTTTGCACATTCATTGCATTTTATTTATTGTATGATTCAACAATTTACGTAAGTTAGCGACGCGAATATGAAATTATCCTTTTGTGTGGCCAAGCCGAACGAAACTTGCCCCCAAGGAAGTTGACAATAAAAACACGTACACACGCCTATTATGACATGGCTTAAAGCCTTTTATTTTTTTTTTATTTTTTAATGCAATGCCAAAGTACCTGGCAAAGTTATTGTTCCGGCCCCTTGGCAAGTTGCCGTTCCGCGAATTTATGCATATATTTATTATGACCTGAGGTTAGCTTATAAAATATTCAATATGGCGGGGAGAATCTTAAAGAGGCATCAATTGAAGCCTTAAACTATTATCAAGCCCTACAAATACTGCACAAATATAAATTATATAGGCGTTAGGGCGTAAAACTTGAGGAAATAGTCAATTAGACAGCTGACACACGCACACACACACACACACAGAAGCGTGTATTTATGTGTGCACGAAAATCTTATTGGAATTTAATGGAGCACACGCTTTATGTATACGTACGTATACGTATTGCACATATAAAAATAATATTTTCTGCATATTGTATAGAGAGTGTAGTCTATATAATTGCACAGAAGTAATCTCAAGCAGGAAATGAACACTGAAATGGCTAGCGATGCGAAAGACACACACACACACACACACACACAGATATTGGCACACTTGCGACAAGATACACGGCAACACTTTTTATACTAACACACATACAAAAACATTTATTTTAGCCAAGCATTTGCCAAATCGATATGCAATTTTCCTAAATATTGTACTTATTGGTAAAATTGTATGTATGTATGTACTTTACGTTCGTATATGGCCGCTTAAAAATCTAAAATGCAAAAATCGTTTATTTGCTCAAGAGCCGTTAAAATGTACAAACTGCAAGGCGATGCCTGAGTGTGTGTGTGTGCCTGTGTGTGTGTGTGTGCATGGGCTGATTCGTTCGGCCGCTGCAAAAAGTCAAACATGGCCATTTGTTGCAGGTTTCAATTTCAGTTGATTGCAAACACAGAGCGAGAGAAAGACAGAGAGAGAGAGTGGGAGAGGGAGAGATTGTGAGTAAGAGAAAGAGTAGCAACTAGCCTGGTACCTTCAATGCCATTGACGAAGAAGAAATTGTTGTAGATATTTGGACGTGCAGTCGAGCGCAAAAAAGCAACAGAGACATCGACGACAGACGGTCCGACAGAGCCAACTGTGCGACTGTGCGGGCTGTGCATAGAGACATATGTAGAACTCACACACAAACACACACACGTAAGACATACAAAAATTATAAGGATATACGCTACGTGCAGTCAATAAATAAAACAGTTCTGTTCGAGTCCTTGCAGCCGGCAGTACCATCAAGTAGCACATACGCCTGGCACAAGAAACACGTTCGATTTAATACAAATGCGCTTAGGTGTAGGCGTGGAAGGGGGTGGGGCTGAGGCTGCCGGTAGAAACGGCTGCTGCTGTGTGGGATTTATGCCAAGCGACGTTTTAAGTCTTCGTCGCAGCAACAGCTGCTGCTGCTGCTGCTGCTTCTTCTACTTCAGATGCGGCTGCCACAGCTGCGCTTACGAATGCGCTCCATGAAGTCAATGCATTTGCCTGGTTAGCAATTTGTAATAATATTCCCCTGGTTTTTTTTTTCGCCTCCTAGGATGCTTATCTAATTTTGTAGCTTCAAATAAATATGGTTCGAATATTGTAGTATTTTTTTTTTTTAATATGTTGACTGGCCATAATTTTAGCTAAAAGATGGGCCGTTAGCCCACAGCGCAGTAAAACAAATATTTACTAAGTTTTAAATCAGTTTTTTTTTTTGCCTGCCAAAGAAACTCGTTTTTATCAAAGTTACGACCAATTTTGGGCAAATGTTAATCGTTTGTGGGTTCAACAAAAGCGCTTGCATACTTTAGAGGGTCACAAGGGCCAAGAGACTATGTATTTTGTCTTTTGCATGCTTTTACCCCTGTGGCTAGAATATAAATTTTGATTTTACATTCCAAACTCAGTTACAAGTTTGGTACTAAATGGCAACAGTTATGTTGATAAACAAAAACTCGTTGCATACCTTTTTCTATGGCCGAGACCAAGTCAAAATTGCAAATATCTGAACAATGCGAACCGAAATGCTGACTGCTGCTGGCTGCTATTTTTGAACTTAAGAAACTCACACACACGCACACACACACAGTCACACACCAAGCGTTGTTGGGGGTGTGGCGGGGTACATTAAGTTTGGCATTAAATTCAAAATACGTGGAAAATGCGTATGGGAAATGCAACAGCTGCATATTGTTTGATAAATAAATAGCAAAAATACATACACACACACACACACACACGTATCCCTATATTTAGAGTGCACAGTCACAAACACACATACATATATACAAATTGCTATTACCCAACGCAATGATTTTTCGGCACAAGCTGTTGTCAGTGATATATGTATATAGCAGAGTCTATCTAGTATACATGTGTGTGCATATGTGTGTGTTGGTTTGAGTGGGTGTGAGCGTGCTTGAGTGTATGTGTTGTGTGTAGATATTTCGTTGTCTCTCACCTTAACCGCCGCTACCTTCCCCCTCGCTTCATCTCTCTCTCTCTCTTTCGCTGCATTTGCACTTTAACATTTAAAGTTGCTTCTCGGTGCGATGCGGCTGATTAGAGAGAAAAGGATGCCAAATTTATTGCAACTGTCTGCGAAAGATAATTTAAATAACAAACTCTCACGCGCACACACAGGCACGCACTCACACACATAAACACACACACACACACACACACACAATGGCCACAAATTGTTACGACAGTGATAAATAAATGTTAACAATGTGCAAATTGTTTAAATTTGCCGCAGCAACAACAGCAAACAGCAACAACAATGTGAGCAGAGTTTGTAACAAATGCAAATGCACATTTACAACCACAATTACAATTGCATTATCACACACACACACACACACACACACACGCACACACATACGCAGACTTGCCAGCATGCGGCTTTTGTAATACGCACACACACACAAACACAATTTGACACTTACATTCGCATATACATATACGTTCACACACGAACATGTGAAAAAAGTTGCACGTTAAGTTTTACAGGCGGTATTTTGTACACTTTTTCGAGGGTATATTCAATTTTATACTAAATATGTAAAGCCTTAAAAAGGAGACTCTTACCGTTGGAAAAGAGTGTGAATTGTTATATATATATATATATATATATATATAATCGCAAAATAAGATTAGCCCAAATAGCTGTGTCTTTTGTACATTTCTTTTGTTGTAGGTATTAGATAGGTCGAAACGGGCTGGCATAATTTAATATATTATGTTGCTTGTCCGGAATCATTGGTCAGTTATTCAACAGAAACACAAATTTCACAAATACATTGCGTAAATTGGTTTGTGTAATAAAATACGAATCCAATTAGCAAAACTTTCCTGCATACCTGCTTTATAAATCAAATAATTCTATATAAATATTTTCATAAACTTTTATGATTATAGCATTAGGTACTTCATTCCCAAATGTTTAATAGTTGTCCAATTATTTGACTGTTTTTTGTTCAAGATAAAATATTAAATTATGCAATTGCAATGCGCAAGTGTATTAAATATTCGGCATATTGTAGATGTGCACTCTTTCTTGTACGCTTTGTTGTTGCTGCTGCTGCGAGAGTTATTATTATGGTTGTTGCTTCTTCTTGTTGTTGTAGTTGTCATTGTAGTTGTTGCTTTTTAAGGCTGCTCTGTTGCTTGTTGTTGTTGTTGTTGTTGCAGCCTCAAATGCGAAATAACCAAAACTTTGCCCGGCAATTTGCTTTAAGCAGTTATTGTGTTAAATATTTAAAGTACTTTGATAGAATCCAGTTACGACTTGTTAAATAACTAAGCAAGAAATTGAATTAGGCATAGCTTGCATGCTGACTATCAATAGATTTGTGTTTGATTCAAGTATTTTAAAATGGCCAATTTTAACAGGAAATAAACTCTTTAATATATGTTATAGCATTTATTGACACATTTCTTTTTATTTATGTTGTCCTTTGATGAAACGCGTTTATCTCAAAGCTTTCTCTAGCTGCATATTGCAAATTTTAAGCCGATTTGCAAGAGATTTGCTCAGAATTATTTCGTTATGTTGACGAGCTTTTGTTATTTTTGATTTGCAGTTTTGAGGCCTTTTCTCTCTTTGCATTTTGCTGCTAATATCCTGTCGAGCGTTGTGGCTAGTCCTTGTCAAAATGTGCGCAAAATAATTACAACGGATTTTTTTAATATTATTATTTTTTTTGCTGCCCTTGTGCATTTAAATGGCGGTCGCACTTTTGGTGACGCTAATGCGGCGCTCATTTGTCGCATTTGTAGCACCGCTTGCACCCCGCAGCACACATCCCTGCACCTCTCCAACCACAGATACACACATACAGAGCCATTTGCCTGGTTTCACACATGCCAGTTGGTCTGGGCTCAGCAGGACTTTTGGCAGCTTACTCGCCGCAGTCGCCGAGCCTCTGTTTATGTTTGTATTTTATTATTCGTTTTTTTTGGCAAACTTTTTGCTTGGTGCCAACTACAATAATTTCGTTGCATAATATCCTTTGACAGGATACACTTTCGCTAAGCCTCAAGGAGCGCACAGCACGCTCCAAACGTCATCAAGCAACATAAAATTGTTTTTGGCACACGCTCCACAGTCGTTCGCTTCTCTCAACTGCCCTGCCAAGTAGTCGAAATCGAGTCGAGTCGAGTGTAGCGCTTGCATTCTCACATATTATTTGCCCATTTGTATGCCCTATAATAATCAATGCAGCTAAAATAGGGTATATAAAGAGTATATAATTGTTAACAGAAGCAATATGTTTCTGTGCTTACTTTGGCCAATTGTTTTCATATACGAACTTTTCATAGATACGTTCTTTATCTGTGACTTAATATATACATCTTTAGATAGCTACTTTAGTTAAAGTTGAAAGAATAAGCAAGGCGTAGTCCTTAATGTGTTTGTGTTTTTTAAGATCAAAGCTGAGTACAGGGTAACTTTGGGCTGTTCAATATTGGTGCATTGTTTTCTTTTCTGTCTCGCTATTGTTTTGTTTGGTTCTCGGCGCTGCCCAATAAACAACATTTATGCATGTTTACAATTTAATATGTTGCGCGCACATGTGTAAAAAACAATTTGTGCCTGCTTGCCAGCCTGGTTGGCTCTCTGGCTGTCTGTCTGGCTGTTTGGCTGTTTGCCTGCCTGGCAGGCATAGCAAAAAGCAGCTACGAGGTCCTGGCGCTGGATAATAGCTTTGGCGGCTGCTAAAATTGTTGCTTATTGTTGGAAGTGCGCCAGGCGTGTTTCTTGCTGCCGCTGCTGCTGCTGCTGCTGCTGCTGCTGCTGCTGTTGCCATTGTTCCGGTTGTTGTTGGATTGGCCGCAATTGCAAGCCGCTTGCGGCAAGGACATGCGGCCGGCAGCACATTGGCATCGCGTGCGTGTTTATCATTTTAATGAAGCAGCCGCTGCGCAATTTATCCCATACCACACATAACTGAAAGTAGATAATGCGTGTGTTACGTTTCTTTATCATTTAATGAGACGTAATCGGTTTTAATTACCCCGAATGCAAGCAAGAGAAGTGTCCTTAAAGGCACAAGAGCGAGAAATGTTGCTTAAAGAGCTTGCAACATTGTTTGGCAATTCTCTTGTTCTTTCGCTGTATATCCCTTTTGCCTGTCTCTCAGTCTCTCATTTTCTTCAGCTGCCTTTGTGTGTGCAAACGTGCGTTTATAATGGATTTATCTGTGTTTGCCTTTATTCGCACTCCAGTAAAGGATATTCAGCGGGCGGCTGGCTGTCGCTTCATAAGCCATCGTGCTTTGCATAATAAAAAACAAACTTTTGCTCGCCTCCTGGATCTGTTGCAACTTGCCACAAACTTAATATGCATTTGTCTGTAGTTCTATCTCTCTCTCTCTCTCACCCTCTCTTTCTTGTTGCTTTGCTGCGTCTTCAATAGGCGAAGACTTAAGAATTTTGGCCAATTTAGTTTAATTGCAACAAAAAGTTTACCAAGCATATTATTCAAAACACTTTAAATTGTCGTCTTCTTTTACATTGAACGATTTGCCATTTAATTACGTTAATTGCTATTTAGACATTTGTAATTGATTAACAACCATACACACAAAGCCAAACGAAGAAACTGATTTTCAATAATGCATTCGTTTTGGAAAATTCCCCAATGGGCTGAGCATAGCATAGCATGAATATTGATTGAGTGCTTCAATTATCGCAAATTGCTTGAGGCTTTAAGATAATTTTATGCAAATATAACTAATATTAATAATAATTGAATATGTGAGTAGTTTAGTTATTTTATATAATAGCATTGCAATTGCTGAATGGACTGGCATAAATATGTAAGTATTTATTAAAATATATTTTATATATATCAATTAGTCAAAGTCTGTAAATTGAATGACTTTATTAGCCAAACTATTTTTGTTTTAAATATGCTTTGGTTCAGGTTAAGTTGCGCTTGTTTCCCCTCCAACTCGCTTTAGGATTCGGTTCTTGCTTAGTTAAAAATTTAACATTATTTTGACATATACAAAAATTACATTAATCCAATTAAAACCCACGAATTTTGCAATTTCGATTTATCAAACATCTTAAGCAAAAATAATAAATAATTTTAACTGACAGTTTGACAAGTTTCAAATTGTGCTCAAATAAATCAAAATAGCTTATCTGAAGTAAAAACCACTTTCAGCGCCTTAAGTTATGACCGAAATATTGGCGAATTAGTTGGCTATTCACAAGAGTCGTAGATAATATTGACAAATGTCCTGGTCTAATTAATTACCAGGTAGCAGCTGTCTCTGTCTGTCCCTCTATGGGCTGAGATCTAGGCCTCGGCACTTAACTTAGGCGGAACTTTTGACATTGTGGAGTCGTTGCCACCTTTGCGCCAGTGTGCATTCGGGTTTTTGGTGGGTAGGGGCATTTGCGCTTAACTAAGCTGCTGGTAAATAATTCATTAATTTTCGCTTATGATTGTAATCCGCTTGTGTACGGACCACGACGAAGGCGAGGCTGACGGCGACGATGTTGAAATCCTTTTGCTATTTGCACAAGCGCACGAAACTTTAGTTAAACACAGCGGCAACGCCCTCGGGTGCTTCAAAGGGTGAAGGGGGCTGAGTTGGCGAAGAAAGGGAAGGAGAATTGTAAGTATGTGTGTGTGTCATGCCCGGCGCGGTTGGCTGACTGGCGGTTCTGTGATTCGGGCTCCTGGAATTGTGCAAACATTTACAATTTCAAATTTCGACTATTGTTTGCATTGCCTCCTGCCCTCCCTATCTCTCTGTGTGTGTGTGTGTGTGTGTGTGTGTGGGGGACAACTTTTGCTTTAAGTCAAAAAGTCTAAGCTGCAAAATACAAGCCAAGCAACGGCGGGCACAGCCAAAAACTAGGCGCCTGTCCAAAAGTAGGCAACACCAGTGCAATGATGATGAGACAAAACTCGCCCCTCTTGACTTATCCAGCATTCCGTATGTGTGCGTGTGTAGGCGTGCGCGTGTGTGTATGGCTTTCAAGGTCAAAACTTTGGTTAAACTTTTAAGCCTAAGCGGCTAAACAAATATGTCTAGCATACACATGGGCGCACCCGTGACAACACGCTGCAGTACGACTGGCAGCTGCCCCATGCGGGCACTGGGCACACGCTCACACCGAGCTACACACACACACACACATACACACGGACACTCACACAATTCTAGACTGTAAAAGGTAGTCTGAAAAATGGTGCTACATATTTGTTGTACATAGTGCAGCATATGTGATTGCTCGAAAAGGTTCGTCGTTAGTTGTTGTTAGAGTATTTCTATATTCGAGGACTTCAAAATGTAGTATTCCAATATTCTCTTGAATTAATTGCTTTATGCTTAATTTTCAATCAAAAAGTGTAAATATTTTAATTATAATCCAATAACTCAAGTGGATTACTTAATTATCCTTGCAGCTTTTGTATGTAGTTGAAGTTTCCTTTAATGAAGCTCAGAGTTAAGTACACAAAGAAAAGACTTACATATTTGATCACATGAATGCACTTGCATTTGCCTGTCGCTTGCTTGTATGGTTTTAAAGTAATTATTTGCTCGTTTTTTAATTTGCTGCATGAATGCCACGCCCGGTAAATGAAAATATCGTTCAATAAGAAAAGCGCATTAAGATTTTTTCGCCCCTTGCCGCTGCTGCTCGTAATTGAAAATTTTGCCCAGCCACGCGCGTTAAGTTGTCAATTTTTTGTTCTCCATTTGTTTCGACGTTTCTCTGTAAGCGACACATGAGCTTTTTTCTTTGCGAATGTGGCTGGGGTGTTGGGGAGGCTGGCCACAACACATTTTTTGGCAGCCACGCCTACGGTCGAGCAGGGCACGAATAAAACAGAAAAAGAATAACAACTAAACGTAAAGCCAAACAAAAGCGCAGACGATCGTCTGCTGCTGCTGCTGCTGCTGTTGTTGTCCTGTGCGGCATATTTGCATTTGTTTTAATGCCAGGCCGCTTAGGACTGGCCCCGAACCCAAATTCGAGCCCCGGCTGCGGACGGGAACAAGTTGAACTCGTTGCCTGTTAAGCCTAAAATCGACATGCAACCTACTGGCCTCGGGGTGTGGTCGTCGCCCACATGGACGTTGCCGCCCAACCGCCCACGCCGCGCTCAGCTCAGTTCAACTCCAACTCAATGTGCACAACGTGATGCTAGCAGCAGGAATACAACGGCGGTCGATGCTGTGCGGCTGCATTGGCGTTAAACTTGGCACTTGGCCAACGGAATTTGCTGGCATAAAGTACAAAATATTCCAACTGCCTGCTGATGCTGTTGCCGCCGTTCATGCCCAGCTCGATGCCGCTCAGTTTTCTAGGCTTGGGCACAATTTGAGGCTTATTTCTGTATGGTTGACACTCGGCGCAAAAATTTGCCGTAAGTGCAATTCGTTGTGGCGGCGGCGTCGTCGTCGCCGTCGCAGTTGTTCATTGGTATCAACTCGATTGCGATTGTTTCGCGCCTTAAGTTATACTATATTTTTGCCTTAAAGCACTCGCTGCAGTCAATGACACTTAAGCGCTGCTCGAATTACACGCATTCCCGTTTATAATTTCGCCAATATTTCACCATAATTAAATGCTTATTTATGTATATACATATATATAGATATGAATTCGCTTAAACCGCTAACGTTAATGTAAATTTGTAAATCAAAGAAAGGCTTAGGCGTAGATGTTAGATATATATTTGTGTTGCCATAAAATTCTACGAATATACAAAACACTGGCAGGCATATAGTTCAAGTTCTGTCTAGTATATACAAAATTCGAATCTATCATGCGACAAGTTGAATTTAAAAAGAAATCGATTTTGGGAGCGCGTTTCAGCGACTTAGAAGGCAACATTATAATATGCAAAGTAATGTCATAATTAAGGATTTATATGAAAAAGTTGCGCCATAACACACTCTAAGCACTTGCAACTTGAACTCTGACAATTTTGAACTTGTCTCACTCACACAGACACACTTACGCAGCGCTAGAGAAAGAGAGAGAGAGAGAGACAGTGCGAATAAGTGAGTGAGAGCGATAGATGGAGGTAGACTACGAAGCACTTCATAATCAGCCATATTGCTGGCAGTTTCTTGTAGCACGCATATCAATCTCTCTTCAGTGCTGCACACAAAGGCTTGCAGCGAAAAACTTTTTGCCAACTCCACGCGCATTCGCGGAAATGACACTGTGGGGCATGAATACTAATTTCTAATTTTGCAGCTGGCGTCGACAACACATTAAGTTGGTTCCCGACAACGACGACGTTGAGGACGAGGACGAAGTAGATAGCGACTTGTAGTAAACTAAACCAAAAATTTGCGCTGCGTTGAGCATATTTTGTGGTTGGTAAATGGGCTTAGGGAGCATGAGATTTGGCTACGACATCTGGACAGTGGAGAGATTGTAGTGGGTTGGCTTGGATCGGGTAGCTCCAGCATATTTGACTCTGCAGTTGACAAAAGTTATGCGTTTGCATTTCCGTCACCAAATGGTGCAATCAACATGCAAGCAGAGAGAAAAAAAACGTGGGTATGGACGGTCAAGTAAATACCCTAACTCCAGAAACTTTAGCTGAAAAAAAAAAATAAATGGAGATCTGGTAGGAATCAGTCAAATGGAAAGAAACAGTTTAGAAAATGGGGGTGAGATTGGTGGGAAGAAAGGTGAGAGAAGCGAGAGAGAGGATGAGAATGGGAGAATGTGAAAGATTGAAAATAATAAAGCCGAGAAACTGCTAAAATAATAAAAATAATAGACTTACCTGAATTCGTGAGAATCGCATAGTAGGGCAGTAGTACTTATTTTCATTTACAGTTCAGCGGATCAAATAATGTTCTTCAATTGTTGAAATATGACATTATTGATGACAATTTAAATATACCTCTCGAGTTACGTACTCTATATCGCTATCTATGCCGGTCTGTTATACAATCTTTGGTATCGTCAGTTGCATCTAAAGCGCTTGCCACATTGTTGTTGTGGTTTTTCTGGGCAACATCAGCAGCTTGTAGTCCACAAACTTTTTGGTGCACGTTGCGGCGCATTCTGCTGTTGCTGCTGCAGCTTACGATGATGATGATTATGATGATGATAATGAAGATTTGTGTCTTGGTGATGATAATGATGTTGATACAGTTAATAGTCAAGTCCATGGCACTGCCCAACGAAAGTTTAGCGTCTTGGTCTTGCGCTCATTAGACGTTAATTGCGCCGACAGAGCGCGTCGAGTTAATAAACAAATTAAATGGCCCAAACGGGCTGCCAATTGGCCAGCTGAAGTTGCAGCTGTTGAAATTAAAACTGCAGCCAAAAAGCCAAAGTTGGCCAAAGACATTTGGCATGTGCATTTCTACACTTGACATTTTATATATATATATATTTATATAAATTTGTGTGTGTAACTGCTGCATATACTTGTCTGAATTCCAACGAGTTGACATTTGCACACTGTCTGCCGCTCAGATGTGCAATCCCTGCCCCCTCCCCAAAAACTAACTCTCACCCCTCTCTGGTCTATTGTTTGCATGCCAAACAAACAAAAAAAAAAAAAAGAGGGGATAAAAAGAATATTCAGTTTTGTCTGCGTCGCTGGTTTGTCTGTCTGTCATCCTGTCCAGCGTCCGG